CTTCTCTTCTTCATTGAGCTGGTAGAATGTGAAATAATTCTCGCTTCTAAGAATCTAGCCATCAGGTCCTCTCAAGCTTCCTATGCTTCCAATAGTGGCCGCGACCAACATTCGAGTCACCAGCCATTCTTTCTCCACCCATCACTCTCTTCAAACTCCGGTGGCCTGTAAACTCCTTTCCCCTTATCGATTAAGTCCCTCATCTCCGAGCAAAACTTCTCGTTCTCTCTCTTAGCCAAGGCGGCCTCTATATTCAAGTCTTCCTAGAAGCGGTCTAGTCGACCCTCTAGCCGAGTTGTCATCTCAACCTTCGCCTGAGAAACCACCCTGCCAATAGAAGTTTCCAGGGTGTCCAGCTTCCCTTCTATTCCAATAATTTTTTCTTCCAAAGACTTGAACTTTTCCTCCAAGGTATCGACCCATCGGGTTGTTGAAACCACCATGATCGTCCTGCTCAATGGACTCAACCACTACTCGACTAACAACAAAGGAATACAACAATAAACAGGACAAATGAGGGAGAAAGCTTCAAGCTTGATTATATTTAACAATGGCAGCAATCAAAGAAACACAAAACTAGTAGGTTTAGCCTACAACTCTCAGCAATAGTAGGTTTAGCCTACAACTCTCAAATAGTGGGTTTAGCTCACAACACTCAGAAAATACTCTACTACAAAATGTTTGTCCTAAACTTCCCCCTTTTTCATTTATATACACTAGTCTCCAAACTTATCCGGTGGCTGGTTTTGTCTTCACTTTGCTGCATAGCTCATCAAATGTTGTTGTCCTGTTTTGTACCCCTGACTAGCTGCTGTAGTGGTGCCATGGTGCTACCCTTTCTCCTCTCCTCCAGGTTGTTTGGACTGATTAGCCGGGTCCATTACACCCGACGGGTACAATTCTAAACCCAACCCCGCCCCACCCCCCCCCTCCACTTGGATATCCACACTCACCTAATCCCTACCCAAGACCCGCCTAATCCCCGCCCCTTTTTATTGCTAATATTACACTTTTTTGTTTCATTTATAAGTCCATTACAAAATATTATATTTACTACTTTATTTTACCTAATATTTTTATAAAATAGTATAAAAGTATATAATTTTATTTTTTAAAATAGATGGATGTGGGTATGGGGTGGGTACGAAGTGGGGCGAGTAGGGTGTAGCGGGTATGAAGTGAGGATAGGTAAGGATGGGGCGAGTACAATCTAAAATCCACCTTCGCCCCATCACTCATGGCAAGTATGGTTTTTATCCCCATCCCCGCCCCACCACCTGCCAAACCGGGACCTATCTCCGCCCAGCGCGGGGCGGGGATGGGGCGGGTCTCCTACTTGACCTATCGGAGACTTGCCCCACTAACATCCCTAGTTACATCTATTGAATACAAAATGATGGAGAATCACCTAACGTGGTTTCGCCATGTAAAAAGGAGGCCAACTAAGGCTTCGGTAAGGAGGCTTGAACAATGGCAAAGTATTTGGATCGCGAGGGGTAGGAGAAAACGTCAAAGAGGGTGATTGATTGTGATATGAGTGCTTTGAGAATTGAGGAAAATATGGTTTTTGTTAGGGCCAAATGGAAGGAAAAAATTCATGGCAAGACGTTTCATGATATGATATTAGATATATACTTTTTGTTTATTTTATTTTAGTATTTACTCGACCCATGTTTGCAACCATTACTTATTTCCTTTGAAATTGTTTTCTCAAACCTTTATGATTCTACTCACATGTTGTTCCTTTATCCCTTTACTACTCTTTTACAACTCTTTAATTTTTTTTTGTATACTCTTTTTGTTTCACTTTACACATACTTTACAACTTTCATTCCATCGATTATTTTGCTATGCTCTTTTTCCTTTTTAGATGGTACCTTATGACGATTCATGTTAGCGAACCAAGATTATTTTTGGACTAAGGTTTTATTATTGTGTACATTGAATTACACATTAAATAATCTATAATTTGTTGTAATTAGAAGCTAGTGGGCTACTTATTACTAGAAAGCAATAATTAACACAATTGAAACCAATGGCTACATGAACTACACGAGGACTTTTTGTCTATTTTTTTTGCTCGTCTCTCAATCTCTACTATTTTATTAAGAAATATTTATGTGTGCTTTTTTTTTAGGATAATGTTTTTTTTACCTCTAATTGACCCTTGATAAAAATATTATTAAAAAAAAAAATGCACATGGATGTGCAGGACACCATATATTTTTAAAACCCATTTGGACTTCAAAGTCCTAAACACATATATTCACAAATCCTGACATTATATATCCATGATCACTAATCCCAATATCGAACAATGTTGCAAAGACGACGTATGGAGTGATAATATTAATTATTACATGATAAGGTTGGTAGCAAAAGGGATGAAAAAGGGAAATTCACCATCCACCACTCTTATAGTCTAACCGGACCAAACTTCTGTTAAGAAAAACTAAAAGAGATCAAATAAAGGGCTTAGTCGTAAGCAACTTAATAACAAATACTACCTTCATTTTTAAAAGATCTTAACACTTTCCATTTATGTTTGTTTCCCAAAAGTTCTTAAAACTTACACTTCATTCCAATTTTGGCAAACCCCTTATACTACATTACCCCTCTTTCCCCCACTATATATTTAATTTACAGCTAACTCAATTTAATTTATCTGCCTTTTTCTTACACCCACCCCAATTTTACACTCTTATTTTAACCACCTTTTTCTTACAATTACCCACTCACTTACCAGTTTCTTAACTTCGAGCAAATGGTAAATGTTAAAATCAAATGGAAACAGAGGTAATACAATCAATTGAGACAAAGATGGCAGGGTAGATTACTAGAAGAAACTAAAATTTGATTAAATGGTGTAAACTAAAATTTCCTACCAAATGTGCTGAATGGAAAAGGTTATATGAGGTACTTGGTACTCAATTAGTTGATTATACTACTGCTTTTTATGGAAGATGGCATTTCTGTAACTAATTAACCTCTATCTCTTATTTATAAACACAAGTCTCTTAAATCTTTTAGAAGAAAAATTAAAAGACGGTAGTATTTTGATAAATTATGCAATCTTTTTTATGATACAACTAGTGGTGCTACTTCACACCCTTCTACTAAAAGCCCTTTTGAAAGTAAGGAAGAAGGGTCCTAAAACAAAATTAATCAATCCAAAGCAACTAAGGGAAAGAGCTAATACATCAATGGCAGATGCATTGAATGCAAGGAGAGGAAATTGTTAAGAGAAACTTAAACTTCATGAAAATTAGATTGATGATAATGACATAAGAGTAGTATATTTAATTATTTATGTATGAGTTTTTGGTTAACTAAAAGTGAAAACAGAAACAAACTAAAAACTGAAATCAGTTTCCAATTCTTAGAAAAAAAATTTGAGAGACCGACAATATTTCCGAACACAACCTAAGTTATAAAATCATCTTTCAAAATAACAAATTAAAAGGTACCCTGCACGAACCATAGACCCATATAAGTGGCTAGCTCTTACTAAAAAAATTTTTTTAAAAAAAAAAAAAAAAAAAAAAAAAAAAAAAAAAACATATTGTTGGATAAGAATGAATACAAGTGGTGTTTCCTCTCATTTCAACTGATATTTTACTTTTTCACATACACAAAAAGGATCTTAAAGGATTCGAAGAAAAGAAAAAAAACCACAGTAGTTGGCTGACTAGTGTGGTTTTTAAGCCCTCTCCCCCCTTCCCCCAAACAAATAAATAAGTATAAATTGACTCATAGTCATGGACAAGGACAAGCAATTGTTGCATCTTATGCCATTTACCACGTGTAAAAGTTGTAATACAAGTATTCTCTATACTCCAAAGAGATTTAAAGAGTGCCTTAAAAAGTTCCATGATAAAATATTATGGCATGTGAAATGTGAAAAGTCTTGGCCAAAGACAAATTAAGTTACGGGTTCCCCTATGTTTCACATGACTAACTGAAGAAAACAATGATAAACAAGGCAGCCGTGTAACATTAGGCATCAAACTTTCCCTGGGAGACCAAAAAGGGCCTTTAGGATATGCCAGCAGCCTAAATTTACAGCGATTGACCTAGCATTTTAAGAGCATGTCATCTAAATCTTGTGGCCAACAGGTTAAATAATTTTTTTTTTCCCTTTTTTCAAGCAAGATGATCCACTAGCTACATATAGGTCATGGAAACATAATTTATAGCTTTTGAAATAAGATTTTTGAGATGTTTTGATATGATTTATAACCCAAATGGTCAATTTTAAATCCATTAACCTACAATTTGTTCAAAAGGTATGTGTTAATCATAGCAAATGACCTTAATCATGTTTGATGTCTGATCTTATTGGATATTAAGAGGTAAATCAAGTACAGTCAACCAATTTGTGCAAGGACATTTTTCTAAGAAAGATAATTAAGAACCCAAAAAACTAACAAAATCCTTAACTCTAAAGCGTAGGAGCTGAAGTTCTAATGAGAAACCTAAGAGATAGTGACTGAAGATAATTTTCAAGGAATTTTAACTCAAGAGTAACTAGCTCTTCTTTCCCTGGCAGTAAAACATGTTGACAGCTACACATCAGCATAATAACAGTCAACTCTTTTCCCTTAAGAAGTAGGATACTTGCTTCGGTGCAGCAAGACAAAAGTTTAGTTTTAATCACAAGAGCCACAAGAAGCTGATACTGAAAATCCATCCTGCATTAAGCGTAAGGCGTGGACATAACTAATATAGTTATGGAACAATTAATTCCGGCATCAGTCAGTTCTGCATATAGTAAATGCAATGGACTAGCAGTAAATTTTAACCACCACTAGTCCACAATCCTTCCCAGTTCCCACTACTCAATAGTTGGGGCAATCTAATTTAAATGGAGGGATTTTTTATCATGTATACACATTTGTGCCACCATGTCAACAGAAAATAACTAAACAGCATGGGAATATAATAAAAGAAACCGCGATACAGATTAAATTAAAACATTGGGTGAAGAATATAAACAGAACCTGGAATGTCATGTTCCTTGAAGCAGGAGCCCACTCATGAGCTATTCTATTTCTAATAAGCTCAGGATCCACAGTGGGTGGCAACCGAATATCAAACCCAGCCGAGGCCTCTGATGGCTGCATGTTCATAGCAAACCCCTGCAAACCAAGCAAGTAATTAGGTAAGAAGTTAAATTCAGAAAGACTAATGCTGTAATAATAAATAGTAGGGAGGAATTAGAACTGACATTAGAAGTAAGAATGCCAGCATCAAAAAACACAGGATTAACAGAGATGACTTGAGAGTGAGCGGCCAATCCTCTCTTGACCAAATTAAATTGAGAATCCCTAAATTGAGTAATCAACTCAATACTGATCATCAAATTCTCCATGGCACTATCATCAAACATCCTGCAACCATGCCCAGGGACTCCAGTAGCCTTAATAGTGACGTGCCACGGAGATCGATCAGCGTAGAAAACCCTAAAATCGTCGTTTGGAGAAGCTTGTCCTTCGTCCATCACAAACCCCACATTTAATTCCTCGAATTCCTTTGAAGCCACAAACTTAGCGGCCCCATCCAACCCTCCAATCTCCTCCTCGGGTACGTATGACAGGTGGACCGTTCTGGTTGGCTCCTTGTATCCCCAGAGTTCTCGAAGATTCCTGATGGCCTCCAGATATTGCATACCGATGCACTTGTCATCTTGGGCCCCGCGGCCGTAAATCCTGCCGTCGGCGGTTCGTACGCCGGAAAATGGAGGGTGAATCCACTTATCGGGCTCTGCCGGGACAGAGTCAAGATGGGAGTTGAAGAGAATAGAAGGAAGGTCGGGCCTTGAACCGGGCCAGGTAACAATGAGTACGGGCTTGCCAGGAACAAACTCAAGCGTGCGGGTGTGGAGTCCAATGGAGCGAGCTTGGGATATGAGGAATGAGACAGGGACGGTGTAGTTTGGATTGGGGTGGGCTGTTTTGAAACGAAGGTAGGTTTGGAATCGGTTTATGACAGGGTTGTCTTCTTCTTCTGGCTGTTGTTGAGTAGAGAGGACTGGAAACACCAACAGTAAGATAAGGAATGTGGAAATGGAAATGGAAATGGAAAGAGAGCACAGGTCGCCCATCGTTGTTGAACTATTGAACTATGGATACACATACACCCACACTTCTTATATTTTTTAAATATAAATTGAGTCGTCTATACTTTTTTTTAAATTGAGCATACATTGCTCTCAAAAAGTCACAAGAGTTACTTAAAACATCATCCGTTTCAATTCAGTTGATAAATTTTGATTTTGGTCATAATTCACATTAGCTAGTTGTTTTCCTTTTTTTTTTTTTTTTTATTCACATTTAAGAAAAAAACATCATGTGAAGTTTTGATAAATTTACCTAATATATAATCGCACATATTAATTTTTGAAGATTTTAATGTTTGAAATCATGCATCATCAACTATGCCTAACATAATAGTATTTCAATTATAAAATAAGATTATGGTTTTATAGGGTCAAGCGCAACTCCAATAGAAAGTTTATCAGATTATGGTTGATGAGTTAATGTTAAACAACTACTAGTTTAATTTATCGAGTTAAATTTTCTAAATACTATCTCTGTTCTTATACTTCGTGTGTTTTATTAAGTTACTGTAAATACACAAAAGTGTGCAAAAATGTGTATTTATTGTGGGGTTGAAAACAAAAGATGATAAAATAGATAACCCAAAAATATAGCAAAACAAAGCGAATAGAACAAAAACACGGAGCGAGTATATTGGGAAAAAAAATGTAACGTGTATGTTACAACTTACAAAGTACCGTACTTTGTACAACTTATACAAACAAACAAACCCAATAAGTAATTTCCTAGCCCTTATAAACAAACACATCTTATCTTATTATCTGAAATTAATAGACCATATAAAAACTTATTTTAGTTGTAATTTGCACTAGTGTAACCCTTATTAGAAATTTTTTTCTTAATTGAACTTACCTAAAACTTAACTGAACTTATTACACCTAAAATAAGTGAAAATAAGGTGAACAGAACATACCCTTATTACCCACAACAGTTTTACTACAATCTTATTAATGTCAGTTTCTACTTGTGTATAAGTACTTTATCCAACTTCTTTTTTTTTTTTTTTTTTTTTTTTTTTTTTTGCAAAGTAATATATAAATATCAAAACTTATTGTGTAAGGGATCCCTTGGTATTGATGTAGTTTTCTATTTTTTGTTTTTTTTTTTTGTTTTTCAAAATCATATGATATATTTGCCTTATTAAAGTGATGATAATTTTGAAAACTAACAACTGAAAAACTTTTCTTGTTTCTTGTTTTTGGTTTTTTGTTTTCAAAAAATCGAAAAACCGAAGAAAAAAAAACGATGTCAAACAAGCCCTTGGTTTTCATGGTACTTTGTTCAAAAAAAAAAAGTTTTCATGGTACTCCCTCCGTGTTTAAATAAATAAAATGTTTTCCTTTTGCGCATACATTGCTCTCACAGAGTCACAAGAGATGACTTAAGACATCATCTGTTTCAATTCAGTTGATAAGTTTTGATTTTGGTCATTATTCACATTAGCTATGTTGTTTTCCTTTTTTTATTTTATTCACATTTAAGAAAAAACATCATGTGAGGTTTTGTTAAATTTACCTAATGTATAATCTCACATACTGATTTTTGAAGATTTTAATGTTTGAAATCATGCATCATCAATTGTGCCTAACCAGCCCCGTTCTTGACATTTTATGGGCCCTAGGCAAGGTAAGAAATAAGGGCCCCTTATAATAAAATAATTGGTAGTCTAGTACTTCGTAGTATTTATACATTTAATTCAATTTCACAAATATCTAGTTTGCTGTCGAAAAATAATTATACTGCACGAGTCATTTTATTTATAGAAAATAAATAATTAAATAGAATTATTTTTAGACCATATAACACATTATATATAGAGAAAATAATTATACTGCACGAATCATTTTGGTATGAGCTAGTGGTGTAGATAGTTAAAGAGTGATGAGAAAGAGTAATCATTCCCCACCCTAAAATTATCCTTAGTAAGGGAATGAAGTCTAAACCACCTCTAACCTCAACTTGAAAAGTGCAATTCTGACTAATAGACCAAGCTTAGTTAAGATGCAAACAAAAGAGAGAGTTTTTCTTAATACAATATGAGAAATAAAAAAAAGTTCATATTCATAATTACATAAAAGTATAAGAATATATCACGGACAAATAAAAAAAACAAAACTAGTATACAAAGTATATGCCACCAAAATATATAAATAAATAATGGATGACATGGGACTATGGTAGATTGGGAGTGGAGAAATGTGTCCATTTTCCAATGTAAAAATAGAAAGAAAATCCCATTTTCGAGTTAGAAGGAGCCGATCCTTGCATCTCTTAGGTGGCACTATTGTACCGCTTAATTCCGCTGGGCTGAAGTAATTCTTGATCAATTATTGTGTTTATTTTGTTATATATAGGAATTTAAATGTATATTTTTCAACTTAAAAAAAAGTCTAAGTTTCTAGAGAGAGAAAGTTTCTCTCGAAACTTCCCACCAATTCCTAGCAAAAGCAGCTCGTCGGCGGCCACCTTGCTTCTTTCACTGGTCGTCCGCGAGCCTAGTTAAAAGGCCGGATTTCGATCTCCGTGTAATTCTCATATTTTTAAATAATTTATAAATGAAATTTTATTTTATTTATAATATTTATTAATATTTTTCTGGAATTTAATTTTAAAAAGTTTTAAATTATTAATTTGGGTCAAAAAATTATTTTAGCACAAATTATTTTACAAACCGTCATTCTATAATTTATGCCCATAAAAACAAAGCATAACCCATTTTGTTTATTTAATTGACCCATTATTTTCATGAGACCCAATTCTACCCTATAATTCTCTCCTATAAATACCCCATGAATCCCCAAATTTTCCCATACAAAAAGGTTAGTCTTTATTTCTTTTCTCTTTATTTTATTTCTTTTTCTTCTTCCTTTATTTTTTTTCTTTCTTTCTTTTCTTTTCCTTTTCTTTCTTTTTTTTCTTTCTTTTTCCTCTTCCTACGTGAGCTTTGCTCACTGCCGCCCAGCCACCTCCGGCGCACAACCACCTCCCTGCCGTCGGCAACCCACCAGGCGGCCCACTGTGGCTGCCCCCTTTCCTCCTCCTTTGTTTCCTTTTTATTTTTGCTTAAAATTGTTAATTTGTTTTAGGTTTTAGTTTTAATTGTTTGAAATTGATTAAATTAGTATCAAAACTATATTTTTTATGGTTTAAACTATAAATATCAGATTATTAATGTTGTTTAAATTTTCAGATTTTGTGATTTTAAAACCTAGGGTTTTGATTTATGTAAATTGGGGTTTTAGGGTTCTAATAAGTAATTAAATTGGGGCTTTTGTCCCTATAGTATTTCTAATCATTAATTAAGCATAAAAACATGTTTTAAGGAGTTTTAATAAAATTATATTGCTGAAAATTAGTTTGGGAATTAATTTGTGATTGTTGGTTGTTTTCTAGGAGGTGATTATTCCTTAGGAGACTTTTAAGTGATTAAAAGTGGCACAAAGGATTGTTTATATGAGGTACGTACATGTCTACTTCGTTGTAAGTAGTATCACGTTTAGGTACCAAAAGGAAATAACTTAGTTTCATGTTTAGAGAACTCTTGGATGGAAATTGTTTAGTTAAACATTGAATTAATTCATGTGCTTATGTTTATGAGACATGTTTTGGTGAATTGATTATGTTTGTATGGAATTATTGTAACACCCTAGAAATTTCTTTTCTTTAAAATACCAAATTTGCCCTTTTTAAAAATACGAAATAGGAAAATCTAAGACATTACTGCCACAGTGAAAACGGCTAAGGCAACTATCAAAGACTCACACAACGAAAGACTTTCCTTAAAACCATTCAAAAACAGGTCAGCTTAAAAAGTCAAACCAAACGAAAGTAAAGTCAAACTAACTTAAACAAGGTCAACCTACAACTCGGAACCATTGTAGGCCCTTTAAAACCAAACGATATTAAAACCCTCTGCGATAGTCTCATGAGCAAAATAAAATAAATAATATTCAAAGCAAATAAAACACATCATATTCTTATGAGAACTAAGCATGATTCACTCTTCACTCATGCCCTTTATGAAAATGCTTCATCACCTGAAAAGCTTCGCTCTACTTGTCCCCACTACTCTCCATTAGAAATGGGATTTGTTAAACATCGCCCACAAATCTCTACATAAAGCCCACAATTATTTTTACTTTGACGCTTTTGCCCTTTTTCTAATTTTTATCCAAAACGTAATTCTCTCTCATGAAAAATGTGGAGCAGCATTGGATCGCTGAAGGACACCAGTGAACCGTCATCGTCGCCGAAAAGCGAGAAACTTTGTGGTAAAAAAATTACGAAATGCTGGCCGGCGTATGGCCTGACCGCCGCCACCGTGACGATGGCGTCTGGCCGGGAAGCCTCAATCGTGGCAGTGGCTTCTAGTCACAGCCACGGTGGCGGCGTCCCGGCCAGGCGCCACAGCCATGGTGGCGGCATCCCAGCCAGGCGCCACAACCACGGTGGCGATGTCCCGGCCAGGCGCCACCACCACGGTTCGTAATTTTTTTAAAAAAATTTTATTTAAAGGTTTTGTTTTTTTTGGTTTTTTAACTTTGATAATAATTTGAAATTAAATATGTGTTAATAATTTCAAAAAAAATAAAATTATGTTTTAATTTTGTATGAATACTTTTATACATAATTATGTGTTAATTATGTGTAAATTTAGAAATAAAATGTATTATGTGTTAAATATAGAAATTAAATTTACAAATAAAAATTTAGAAATTACTTATGTGTTAATTTTGTGTTAAATGTATTAATTTAATCTTTATATAATTATATGTATTTAAAAATAATGTCATTGTTGCAGGATTATGGTGGAGACGGAAATGATTATAGCGGGATTTTGTACATGATAATCCCTTCGAAGATGCTCAACAAGTGATTGATAGGGCAAAACAGGTTGCAATTAGATCTGGTTTTTGTTTAGTAGTAGCAACTCATAAATCTCAACGGGATGGTAGAATGGATCACATTTTGAGATGCGACCGTTATCGCAAAAGGGAGGAACGAGATTTCAGTACAACAATTCGGTTTGATACAAAGTGGAAAGGTTGTGGGTGTGAGTTTAGAGTAA